ATATGCCCATTAAAACTCAAGTATATGTACGCATATGTGAACAAAATGTCGATTGGTAGTTTGCAACGTGAAGGCTTCTTGGTTGTATGTTCATGCTGCGAACCACTAGTGTTCCTGGCTTTTACTGCCGTGATACAGTAGTAGGGCTGCGCAATATAACCGGTTTACCGGCTCAGACATGAAAACGGTACGTATTGCGATACGCTGATCGAAAACCGGTATTTTGACATGCATTCGGAAAACTTCGTAACACTCGGAAATCTTCGGATATTTCCGTTTTTTTAATTGTTCTTTTCCCTGTTTCATTAGTGCCAAATGTTACTTACATTTATATTTTGTCATGATTAAAAGTTTTTATAAAAGGTTAATCAATCAAAGTGAATTTGTTGGCTTTTTGCTTTATAATCAAGCATTAACTCGATTATAAGTAGTTTTTGTTAAAAACATAATCCTTGCAATATATTGCAATACATATCGCAATATATGCTTCCGCATCGCAATATAGCGCAATATGAAAATTCTCTGCAATACCCACCCCTATACAGTAGGCATATTTACACAATACAACGTTCACATACCCGCTTTCTCGTATGTCGCGATCACCTTGTTGTTCCAGTATTGCCATGCTGACGAGTATCAGTATTAGAATAGAATGTAAGAATGGGTCCCACGCACCCTATATGCTGGCCGTGGGAGAAAAATAAGTGGATCGGATGGTACGTTACGGCTACTTGAATTCGAGTTATGTTTTAAATTTTATTTTCTTATATTTGCATGTTCTTGTTGCATTTTTACAGTAGCTTATACTCATAACTAACAAAAAAGTAAAAAGTTCGAGTCATGTTTACCAGTCGGGCCGTGTTCATGGTATTGATCACTAGTCTATGTTTTGCAGAGTTAGAACAAGGATAATACGTTTCATATGTCACGTTGTTATTACCATGAAAATACACGATCAATGATTTCTAGACAAAACGTATCTTTTAAACGGGTCTTACACGTTCCATTATAGTCCCAAAATGATTATATTTTTCAGTCTGGTCGTTAAACATGCAATTTGTCAATATTTCAACGGCTTTATTCATCCATCTTGGAGGAAGTGAATGTGACCAAACACGTGAAATATTGATGATCGTCGTTCAAACTTAGACTGCAAACATTATTGTCCCTCTGGGGGGTATATGTCAGTCAGTTGTTCGACATGCGTAATATACTGCAGTGCAAGACCGACTCCGTTGTGTAGTGGTTAGAGTGTCCGCCCGGAGAGCGGAAGGTCGCTGGTTCGATTCCCCCCCGACCGCGTCATACCAAAAGACGTTAAAATATGGTACTTGTTGGTCCCTGCCTGGCACTCGGCATTAATGGGTACAAGAACTGGTCGGCTCGGAGTCAGTATAATGTGTCTAAGTGGGGTATTCATGCTTCACTGCGGCATGGTATGTCAGTGGGCTAGCACTATAAAACCAGCTTCAGTCTGGGCTAGTACAAGCAGCCGCACATACACATGCACACACATGCACGTCGTCATATGAGCCAAATATTCTCAAGCACGACGTTAAACCCAATTTCACCTCACCTCACTTACTGCAGTGCACTTGTGGTCACCTTGTTATGGGAAAAGAAGTTGATACCAATCTCTCACAGTCGTGATGAATGGCAAGGCTCCAGGGCTATATGTACTGTGTTGGCGCGGTCTATTATCCCCAAACAATCCGCCCTTGTATTCTGGCAACTCCACTTCATGTAATTAGGTTTGCTTCTACCCCTGAGCCCAAACTCATTAATATTGGCGATTACTGTCGAAGGTATGTAGTTCTGACTATTTTCTCAGTAAATTCCGAGTCTTCATTTTTCAAAATAATCACTTAGACATTCTGATATTCGAGTGTTTTGTGTGTAGTCTAAGATCAGTAAGAAAACACATCAGAGATCAAACATTTGGCTCTTTTTGGTCAAATAACATACTTTCCTGTCTGGTGAAAACCGTCGATCATAAACATAAATATAATATTTCTCCATCGGAAGCAGTTTATGTATTTACTTCTCACATATTCACTTCATATTGCATGATCAGCTGTTCAATTTCTTTAATCATGTACACGTGCTGCCTGTTCCATGAATGCATGATTGAGTTGAGCTGTACCCCGAAAACAAATTGGATAGTTTGCTTATTTTAATATGAAAGTATAACTGTGAAATGTTTATCTGTATAACTTGGACCCTTTTATCCAATCTAGAAATAGGCTATATAATGATAATAAGTCATCTTCTATAGCGCACAGTCTCCAAACACCAAGTGACTGCTCGCGGCGCTTTATCAGAATCTGATGATTATTACCCCGGATAACCCAAGCTGCCTGTTAGGCGCTAGAAGGTTATAGTCACATGACTTTATCATACCGGGTACCCATTTTCTGCTGAGTGAACAGACGCAGTTTTGAACAAACTCACTTGCCTAAGGTGAGACCACATGTATCACAAATTGGTAATGTTAATGCTCCAGTAAATATCTGTATTATCAACCAGAAAAATGGCATTATATACAGATCAGTATCTCAAGAAATTTACATGAGGTATAATATACATCCTTCTACCCGAACGAGTATCAGTACCAGTGAAATGTATTTTCTGGTGTTTGTTTTATGAACGATATCCTTTGTGTACATATGTCCCTTAGATTAATAGTCAGCTCGTAATGCGGGGTTACCGGTCTAACGAGGTCCCGTTATTGCAGGTATTGCAAAGATGCCGTATGGCCTTAATTCGACATAAATAAATTTTAGATTGCCCAGTAATTATAACGTGTCGAGATTGGTTACTGGATACTGATCACATATTCACATAACCCGTAAAGATTCCGGTTAGAATTGATCTTCAGTAACCATGCTTGTCTCCAACCGAGAAGATCCCGGTTAGAATTGGTCTTCAGCAACCCATGCTTGTGGTAAGAGGCGACTAACGGGATCGGGTGGTCTGGCTCGCTGACTTGGTTGACACATGTCATCGTATTCCAGTTGCGCAGATCAATGCTCATGCTGTTGACCACTGGATTGTCTGGTCCAAACTATTTACAGACAACCGCTATAAAGCTGGAATATTGCCGCGTGCGGTGTTAAACGAAAAACAAACAAACGTATCCACAATCGTTATGCTTACATTTATGTGAATATATACAAAAGAACATCTGAAAGTGTATGATGTTACGCATTTGAAGTATAAAAACCTGCATGCAAATAGTTCATATGGAACTGGTTCCAAACCTACATCGGCGCCATTCTAAATGCTAAGCCATCACATCAAAGAAGATAAGGAACAGCAGTACAACACAATGTGCGTTATGTTCTCACAAGATTCAACATCTCGTGGTATTTGACAAGAAACCCAACCCCTCTCACTGCTGTGAGCAGACGGAGTTTCACTGCGGGCTTGCCCTTTGCCGTGGCCTTCGGTGACCTTCACGTTGCCCCCTTCTGGAATCTGTTTGGAGTTATCTCCCCTGTCTTCTCTCGCTCCAGGTAATATATCAAGTAAATCATAAACGGGGCCATTTATTACCGGTGAACATTTCACGATGTTTCTCCGTGGGTAGCCTGTAGGGTAAGCGGTCGCTCGTTAGGACGAAGATCGTGGTTCGATAACCGCATGGGAGCAACCGAGGATCATAAAATGGCAATTTTCCGGACTGAAGTCTCAGCAGGCTTGGCAGACTGACATAAAGTCTCTAAAATAAGGCTATGTGGTAAAGGGGAAGAATATTAACTGAATATGGGAAACAGCCAGTATTCAGGTCTCAAGTCTCGTAATTCCAAAGCTAGGGCTGCCAAGGAATGTTTATTATCTGATAAAGAAATAGACGCGAAGTGGAATTAAAGTATGGGAGTGTTTTATTAAATATATGCTCTGGGTTCTGAATGCGAGGCCAAAGGTTGGGTTAAACATCGAAACGCATAACCCGTGGCGTTGGAACAGTGGTTTTGATAGGGCAATGTCGATCCTTTTGAGAGAGAGATCAATTTGAGGCACCCACTGTAAAAATTATCGGAGTGAAAATACGGGTGTATATGAACCTGCTTCCGCTCTTGTACAGTTTATGATTTAGCTGAAGGTATCACAAATATATGTGACTGCCACATTTCCTAAAAAACACCATTGCTATCTGTTTGTTCACGTTTTAGATGGTGAGTAAATAAGAAAATATACAACTTTGTGGATGTAACGTCTTGCATTTAGTGTAGTGTCGATGTTATCAAGCTGCAGTGATCAGTGATACCAGTGGCAGACATTACATGAATTCCTTCATGCATCTCATCAGATTCATCTCAGTTTCACCGAGTATTGGCAGTGTAGAAACGAATTCAATCCCCGGTTCTGTTCGGCGTCTTTCGGAAGAAAACCAAACAGGCGGATGTAATAACTATCATCAAAGTCACTATGGTCAGTTCGGATTGTTTAAACATATAACACCCACATGTTGTGTCCAGATGTCTGAAACTTGTTCTGGTTTAATACATATCTGTATCATCACACATCAGTACATATCTGTAGTTCATCCGTTTTAGAGGATTAAAGAGAGACATACTGGTGCCTTTTCAATCCATTATTAACGGTATAGGGTTTCCACAACATCCTTGATAATCTGACTTAAACTACTCATTACCAACTTTAGGTGGAGATAAGATCTTTTTTAAATGTATTTTGAAAGGGCTCTTAGAAAATTTATCGCAATATATAACAGTAAGTTAATTACTTTAACATAATTTACTGCCGCATCTGACATTTTTGTATTTACGAGATTTAAAGCTGGTGGTAATACAACGAAGAAACATACTATCGCATGGAATCTAAATATAATTTAGAAATTAATTGGAGAACTGATATCAGTGTTATAACTGATAAATCAATCAAACTGGCCACCTGGCGATCACACCTTGTCAACACCTCCGTGTAAATATCTACCAATATACCCACTAAAACCAGTTCTCACAGCACGAACATCTACGCCTGTCTATCGTGGGGAAACACAAATAAACAAAGACATGGATCCAATGGTGAAATGGACACGCCTAGAAGCAGTTACTTCCCCTTCATGTGCAGTTACTCGAGTTCTCTATGTCCTGGTAGACCGGGAGTCGAGTTGTGTGTTGCATTTGGAGGTGTATACACGGCCCGTGGAATCCTGCGTGCGATGTGGAGCTGAGCTATATGCACCATGTGTAGGTTGTCGATTACCAGGTGGGCCGGCATTGTTCAGCATTGCCATTGAGAATATACCTGGATATACTGAAATGTACATGGATTGTCAGTGTCAATTGCAGGTAGGTTTCAAAGTAGCGCGGTAGGTTGCTGTAAGTTTATATATAATGCATGTTACATTGAACAATTCATCATGTGTCATTAGTGAAAACCATCTACAGTGTGTTATAATACAATGAAGAAATAGGAAATGTATGTGGTTTCATACAATATTTGTCAAGAAGCCAATTTTGATGATCATTGAAAAACGCGAAAAATATCATACCCTATAATTGCAACAAGTAGAAGTGGAAGTGGAATTGCGAAGTCATTCGTGATAACTTTTAGGCGTACGGACATACGGTGAAGTTTTGAAGAAAAGGTATGACGTACATACCAACAGTACTTACTTAATTAGTATCAAATAATACGCTGTTGCGTAAAAAAATATATTATCATATGCCACATGAACAGAATGACACCCAGGCCAATGTTAATTAATGACGTTTTGCTGGTTTGATTTCTACACTCACAAATGTGCTCTGAATTCACATCATGTTCGGATCTGATTCCAATGTCACATATATTCGATTGGGAATAAATAGTTTGAAATTAGTGTGCATTTCAGACTAACAGTACCTCGTACTCATCTTCAGACTCTGTCACATTTCAAGTTCATTTCCTTGTATTAAATCACACCCAGTTCAACACTTGGATTATTTAGCAATGAATTTAGCAATAACAATACCGCACATTACCATTGTTGTATTGCCCTTAATAACAGTATAGTACAGCCGACCTGTTTCCATTAGCAACCCCCATCCTCCACTAATTTGAGGATCGGGTGGTCACAATATGTGACAGGTATTGGCGTAAAACAACATTCACTCACCCATTCTTATGTCTGAAGATCCGGGATAGAATTGATCTTCAGCAACCCATGCTTGTCATAAGAGGCGACTAACGGGATCGGGTGGTCAGGCTCGCTGACTTGGTTGACACATGCCATCGTATCCCATTTGCGTAGATTGATGCTCGCGCCGTTGATCAACGGATTGTTTGGTCCAGACTCGATTATTTACAGACCAGCGCCATATAGCTGGAATATTGCTGAGTGTGGCATTAAACAATAACCAAACCCGACCAAACCAATCATGCTTGCCCAGTGAGACACCCGTTGTGATTTCCCTGTGGAAACCTGTGGAGACACCCGTTGTGATTTCCCTGTGATGCTCCTGTGGAGACACCCATTGTGATTTCCCTGTGGTGCTCCTGTGGAAACCTGTGGAGACAACCATTGTGGCATTTTTCTATTGTGTCCGAACGCTTTGTGGTGACCCGAGAGTGACAGTCATTGTCATATCTCTGTAAAACCGCACGATGTAAAGAGTCACGCTACTTGCCTTGCGGTACACATGGAGAGCACTACAAGGTGCTTGAAAAGGCGGGAATTGTGGTGTTACTACTGTGTGTGCTTCACGATGCTTGAAATGGAGAAAGTCGACGTGCTACCCATAGTAGTGTGCTACAGGATGCTTGGAAGGGAGAAAGTCGACGTGCTATCCATAGTAGTGTGCTACACGATGCTTGAAAGGGAGAAAGTCGACGTGCTACACATAGTAGTGTGCTACGAGATGCTTGAAAGGGAGAAAGTCGACGTGCTACCCATAGTAGTGTGCTACACGATGCTTGAAAGGGAGAAAGTCGACGTGCTACACATAGTAGTATACTACAAGATGCTTGAAAGGGAGAAAGTCGACGTGCTACACATAGTAGTGTGCTATATGATGCTTGAAGGTAGAGAGTCGTGGTGCTACCCATAGTAGTATACTACAAGATGCTTGAAATGGAAAAAGTCGACGTGCTACACATAGTAGTGTGCTGCACGATGCTTGAAAGGGAGAAAGTCGACGTGCTACACATAGTAGTATACTACAAGATGCTTGAAAGGGAGAAAGTCGACGTGCTACACATAGTAGTGTGCTACGAGATGCTTGAAAGGGAGAAAGTCGACGTGCTACCCATAGTAGTGTGCTACACGATGCTTGAAAGGGAGAAAGTCGACGTGCTACACATAATAGTGTGCTACATGATGCTTGAAAGGGAGAAAGTCGACGTGCTACACATAGTAGTGTGCTACAAGATGCTTGAAGGTAGAGAGTCGTGGTGCTACCCATAGTAGTGTGCCTACAAGATGTAGTATACTACAAGATGCTTGAAATGGAAAAAGTCGACGTGCTACACATAGTAGTGTGCTGCACGATGCTTGAAAGGGAGAAAGTCGACGTGCTACACATAATAGTGTGCTACACGATGCTTGAAAGGGAGAAAGTCGACGTGCTACACATAACAGTGTGCTACACTAAAGGGAGAAAGTCGCAGTGCTCCAGGCCTGCCGTCAGACACAAACAGCGGCGGGGGTAGCCTTGTGGTAACAGCATTCGCTTGTCACACCGAAGGCCCGGGTTCGATTCCCCACATGGGTAGAATGCGTGATGCCAATGTCTGGTGTCTCCCGTCGTGATATTGCTGGAATATTGCTAAAAGCGGAGTAAAACTAATCTCACTCACTCACCCCAGACATCGCCGTGGTGTCGATATACTACAAAGGTCGTATGGTGTCCATTGTAACTGAGGTGTCTACCAAGCATGTCTTAACTACAACAACAAATTTTAAAGAGAGCTGAGTTTTTCCTCTTCTGTTACGAACCTGGCTGTTCTAATGTATCACCATACCCATGGCCAGGTACGTCCGATCAAGGCGTGTTGACCATGCCGTTTTGATAAGACTGTGACCCTTTAGTCTTATAAGTACATAGATATCTTTTCCCATAGTTTTTGTACACCCAAAACACTTGCAGCATTCACAACGAATTACATAAAGAAAACTGCCATTGAAACATTCTGACGCAAGAGAATTAGCACACATGTGTTTTCGATAAACAAGGGGTTTATCCAAATGCGTTTACTATTAGCTTCATATGTGAAATTATGTAAATGTTACTTATGTAAGAACATGCCTTCATTCTTCAATTGAAAAATATGCAAAACATGACTACAGAATGATTTTTTTCAATTCTGAGCGGACATAAATTCGTTTTAATGGCAATTTACTGATATATACCTCAAATTGTTGATGCAGTTTTGGCAGCTAATGTGTTGCTACACTAGTACTGTAATGTATACCTGCTTCACGAAAAACATGTTCTATCAAAGCTAAGTGTAATATTGTGCACTGGAATGGGGTTTTAAAGGTTGAAAAATAGCATTTCGCTTTCTCTGAACATGTGTCAGGTTACGAAATGTGAAACAACATGGAGCAGTCGATGTATATGGAAGATGAATGATCAGCCGTTGTAGTATATCTCATATTACTCACTTCTCAGCCTCTAGATGTATATGCTTCAGTCGGACACCGTTTATAGATATATGTATTTACGCTCACTAATATTCTAGCTATATGGCGGGAGTCATGGTTGTTGTTTAACGCCGCACTCAGCATTACATTCCAACTCTACCACGGCGGTCCGTAAATAATCGAGTCTGAACCTAACAATCAGGTGATTCACATTAAGAGCATCGATCTACGTAATGACCATACCGTGAAATCATGAACATCGATCTACGCAGTTGGGATACGGTTGACTGCTTGATTATTTGACGCAGCAATATTCCAGCTATATGGAGGCGGTCTGTAAATAATCGAGTCTGGGCCAGACAATCCAGTGATCAATATCATCAGCATCAATCTAGTACGCATTTGGAATACGATGATATGTGTCAACCAAGTCAGCGAGCCTGACCCATTACACGCCTTTTATGACAAACGTGGGTTGCTGAAGGCAATGTTTAACTAGGATCTTTACGGATATTATCGATGTGTGAATGTTTCACTTAGTGAGTGAGTGAGTGAGTATGGTTTTACGCCGCTTTTAGCAATATTCCAGCAATATCACGGCGGGGGACACCAGAAATGGGCTTCACACATTGCACCCCACCGCCCGTTTCACTTAGAAAGCCCTTGTATATAGATATTTAGTTGTATCTGCTTCCACATACAACATATTCTTATTTGAATGTAATACTAAAGTTTAAAACAAATTTGTCCAATGAGCAAACCTGAAATGCATTAACTCGGTATTCGGCTCAGTGGTCAGTTATCGCCATTTATGCAAATTTTGTGAATGGCGGGTTCTACAGGTAGGGCACGGCATGCTTACCCTTTTCATAGACACATTGTGTCATCGCTGATTTTCATTAATCTTCCCGTTTCATTTCTACTACTATCTTGTCTTTTGCGCAAATGGAATCGGCTGATAATCGCGACTGTTTATTCTCTGTCGATAGCATTTGATATTTACGAGGTTTACCTAAATTTGTCTTACCCTCTTCAAAGAAATTGGATTATTTTGTGCGTATAGTGTGTTCTTTAAATCTAATTCGTGAGAGGTACTCGTTAACGAAATAATTGCTTTAGACCACCTCGATGACTGCAGAGGAGTGTTGATATGCAGAAGGCAACGCAGTTGCCAGACTAACTTCAAGAGTAACAGTCGGGTAATGAATTGTCATTTTGTTATCTATAAAATCTCTAGTTATCTGTCTGTCTCAGACTTCTAATCTGGACTGTTAGACATTCAACGATCAATTCCATTCCAAGGCTCGGGAAACGAAGGACGACTGAAGTGAAGGTTCAGAATCGTAGCTCTGAGTTTACCAATTCTTGGAATGAAAGTGGAAGTTTGTCTTTTTTCTTCTTTGAAGAATGTTGACAGAGCTGCGAACGTGTGCTGAGTACAATAGTTTTAAATGTCCGGTTGAATTGCGGATTTTCACTTACATGTTTTTATAAGAAATACATGCAGTGTTATGTTATAGACACTATCCTATTACAGGGTTTTCTAATCAACGAGCCGATATATCAACGAAGATTATTTATACTGAGTAAATTGTATATCTACCTGGAGCCGCTTTATATTGCCCAGTTGCTGGAATAGTGCTAAAATCGCCCTCATTCACCCGTATTCTTTTCATAGACTAATATTACGTTTGATCCGCACGTTACGTCGTCACAGAAGGACAA